GAAGTGTAAATTATAACTTGAGTTATGAGAGTGGGCTTTATGGGGAACTGAACCTTATGGATTTGATTTTTGTATCCTCAGAAAAATATTTTTTAATAAGGATAGCTATGATCCTGAGGATACACCTTATCCTCAAGAAACCCTTAATTATATAGTTTTTCGATTTTTGCCAACATTTAATTATTATTGCAATTGATGTTAAAAAAATGATAAAAAAACAAAAAAGACCAAAAAAATCCAACAATAACCAATATTATTAAATTAAATTTTTATTTTTTTTGAAAAAAAAAACAATTCAAATGTTACTTTTGTTTTTTTAATAAATATAAACATGTTTGATGAAATATTTATATTTTATCGTAAGCTGATTAGTTAATACAAAAGAAAACTAAATAAAAATAACAAAATGTTATTTTGGATTCGACAAACAAATTTGTATTATTATATGCGCACTTTATAAAAACGATAGGCACTTTTTGTTTAAAATCATTGATTATCATTTACTATTGTATATCATTTTAAAATTAACGACTATTCTTATCAATCAATGCAATTAAAAGAATCATAGATTGTTTGTAAGTGATATTTAATTAATGTTTTTGTACGTATATTAAATAAATATTATTTTCTTATAATAAAAGAAATATTGTCTGGTAAAAATATGCCTTTCATGTCATAATTTTCAATAAATATTGCACAACAATGTTACTTGATATAATAAGTCACAAATTAAAGTTGTTATTATTTTAACAATATGTCTGATAGACAAAATCGAAATAATATAGTCATTGTTATCATATTTTAATTATCAAAAATATAACGATTTAAATTAATTTTTTTTATTATATTTGTTTTGTTTTGAAATATAATGTCTCAAATTATAATAAGTATTTTTAAGAGCATTTTTCAAAACGAAATAAACAGATGGTTACAAATTATTGTTAAAGTTAATTAATCCAAAACACGGTTAGATGTTGTACGAATGATATTTCGATATTTGTTGCCTATAAAAACAAATTAAATTAATTATGAGCATTCCTCAATGTATTTTATATTATATTTTATATATATATCCTATATTTTTAATAATATGTTTTTGATTTGTACCTTTTTTATTAAATATGGTGTTGTTATCGTTTAAGTATTTATTAAAAACATGTTTTGTGTAAATTGTTTTTTATTTATGATAAGTAAAATATATTTACAATAAGATAAAAATTGCCGCTCATTGTGGTAATTGTAAGAAAAAATCATTATTGAAATTTTCATTTTTTTTCAAAATGCAGAAATTGTTTTTACCAAAAACATTAAAATGATATTTATTAAATTATTCTTTATAAACAAAACCAAAATTCTAGAACTTAAATAGTTCTATTTGGTGAAACGATTTCACCAAATAATTTACTAAAACATAAATTTTCAGTAAAATTATTTCACCATTTTACTTCATCCCTAATTATTATTTTTGATATTTGGACAATTTTTTATTGTTGTTACAGACTCAAAA